TCTTCTTCCAAATCGACCGACCTCTTGCAATCTAGAGAATGTACTATTTTTAAAAAAAAAAACCTGCAAATTTTCAGGAGATAATTAGATAAACCGTGAAAATCATCCATATCAATATAGTAGTCATGTGAAATTTTAACATATTAATAGAAATTAGATATTTTTCCAGTGTGATCCATGTTGGTGCGTTCGACTTATACCTATCTCTATTTGCTCAATTTCATTCCAATTATATTGAGAAGAGTCCTGTCTTAATTTGAAAATAATCGAGATGAGATTTTACAAAACGACACACAAGATTGCCTTTAGGATGTCACATCCCATCCCGAATATTATATATTATTTTTATTTTAAAAATATGCATTAAATATATTAACTATATTAATATAATGTATTCTTATACCAATAATATTAATTATAATTTTATTTTAAAAACTAAATTTTTTTATATCGATAATTTTAATAGCTTAAAGTAAACAGTACAGAGTAATATTTTTTTGTAATATATTAATTATATTAATATAATTTATTTTTATATCTATCTATTTAATAATTTTTGTAAATGATAATATTCATTGTTTTTGTTGCTTTATTTTTAAAAAAATCATTAGCTTAACATCTCTTAACTAAAGAAGAAAGATAATGACTTAATATTATGCCTGATTTGTCTATTGTTGCTTTTATAGCTTAAAACTCACTTATAATTACTATCATAATATATTATGTTTCATGTATACTTGACTTTAAATTATACATTTGTAGTTATAATTGATGTGATTCAATAATTAATTTTAAATTATTATGATTTATATACTTGTATTGTTTTAGTTTTAAACTAAATAAGTTATATTATTTGAAATTTTAATGAAAATGTTATTATCCAAACATTTTTCCCATCTTGTCCATTTTATCGAGATAGCAGAATATTTTTATTTGGTTCCAATCTCATCCTGATTCCTAATAGGTGAGACAACTTTTGAGACGAGATAAAATACAAGACAAAAATTTAGTGATGATTTTTTTTTAGGATGGGATATGAAATAGAGGTGTCTTGATCTCGTCCCATTTAAGAAAAACCTTAATTACATGAGATAAGATACTTATAAGTTTCTTGAAGATTATATTTATTTTTGTAACGTGAAAATTATTAAAACACATGGAGAAATAATAAAAACAATGAAAATAAAGTTGCATGGAACTTAATAACATGAATAAATAAATAAAAAAGATAGGATCGCATGGTCGTGCCCAAGTACTAGTCCATCTTTCCATCATAAACTAAACAAATTTCAACATCTAGTGTGAGACTTTATATGCATCTTTACATATTTATCTCACAACGCATAATATTTTCTTGAATATATATGCTCATGTGATGTAAGAGACATTTTTTTCCTTTTCCTTTTTTTTCTTTCCCTTTCATTTTCGTTACATCACACGTGGGAGACTTCAAGATACATTTGCAAGTAATCAATTCAAAAGTGACAATTCTTCTCTTCTCTTGTTTTTTAAAAAATTCGTGTTTGAATAATATATATATACATATATATTGCCATCACGAACAATGCTATACAAACAATTGTGGATTTTAATATTATCTATACATGTATGAAGAAGAATTTCTTGTAAGTAAAGCACTTGGTCAACACTGAACACACCTGCATTTTCTACAATCTCTGTAGTCTCAGTCAATAATGAGATTTAATAATTTTTTCAACGTATTATCGAAATCGCGAGACTTTTATTTATTGAATGAGGGTGTCGTTTTACCTTCTTTCTTTCTTTGGCTGTTTTTTTTTTTTTTTAATATTAGGGTGTGTTCCAATGTTATGTTCTTCTAATAGCAGGTGGTATAAATAAAACCTTCATTACAAATTTTATTTGCTAATCAAAAGAAAGTCCACAATGGCAGACTAAATCGATATCGGGCTATTAATGATTCTGACAGAGGCTCAGCAATTTTTTTTTTTTAGTTTTTGTTATTTGATTCAACTGTCCTTCAAGGAAAAATCACAAATAAGGATATATAAATATTACAAATAATCGACCAAGCTCACGAAATTATAAAATTAAATTTTAATATTACGGTCCTTTCTTATACGTAGCGTTAACAATAATACTGATCGGAGACCAAATTTGCAAGTTTGGGGGTAAAAAATTTTTCAAGTCAAATAAAATGACTCCATAACCCCTCAATTAAAATTTTCAATCCAATTAAAATGATTTCAGTACTAATAAATTTTAAATTGGCCTATTGCAAATCTGAGAGTAAAATTGTTTTCAACTCAAATAAAATGATTTCAAAACCCCATTCAATTAAATGTCCAGCCTAGTTAAAGTAGCTTTAGCACTTGATCCAAAAGAAATTATCACTAGTAAATTTTACGTCTTTGTTGATAAATCCTCAAGTTGACTCTCCAAGTTTATTAATTTTATTTTTTTAATTTATAAAATTATATCAACCTACTCATAAACTTAAATTAAATACAAATTAGATTAAATTTGTGAGTTGACTCTCTAAATTTATCATTTTTTATATTTTTAACTTATAAAATTGTATACTGACTTATTCATAAGCTTAGAATTTATATAAACTTGGTTAAACTTGTTAAATTCATTGATTTTTTTATTGAGTTGAATGAGTTAGATATATATTGTATAAAATTGAGTTCATAGAAACAATATGATTCAGTTAAAGAAAAATGAAATTCAAAAAGAAAAAACTAATATTAATAAAAATAGAAAACAAAAAATATAAAAAATAAGTTGCTCTGTTTTAAAATTTCTATGTTAAGTATGATAATCTATCACTGTAAATGAATTTAATTTTAATAATTTGTATTTAAAATATACTTAAATCAAATTATAATTGAATTTTATATTTTAATTATTTAATTATATACTTTTAATGGTTATTTATTAACAAAGATAAGCTTATTCAAGTTTACACTTTTATCACGAGTTTACTTAAATTTACAAGTTTGACAACCTTTATTGACATTTTTAACAAGAATAATTTGGTCAAAATGTTTTTTAAAAAACTAAAAAAAAAACCCATGATCAATCCTAAAATGTTTTTTAATTTTTGAATGTCCTTAATTATGATTTTGACTTAATTTTATGATGGAGATGGAGTAGGCGATTCTTGGCTTGATGTGATGCTGGACATGTTCGTATGCCAACAGACATAACGATATTTAATACTAAATACTCTTTTATGTTTTATCCAAGTGGAACCTAAAATGCGCCACATTAATTTATATATTATTGTTATTAAATTTGTAAATCATTTTCCTTCATAACGTTGTGCGGCGAGCTTAATAAGTTATAACACCCACCCACCCACACACACACAATACACTATCCAGGATAACTGGGTCGTGTTTACATGAACATGTGATACGCACTATACCAAACACCTCCACTAATAATATAAAATGCTTGTATTATAATTCAATTACGAGAATATTTAACTCCGTCAAAATTGTACTCCTCTGCTTTTCTTTTATATATCCTTAATTTGACCATACATAAAGCGTCATATATAACTTTTGATTTTTCTCTGTATCCATTCACAAGGAAGTTGCGCCGTAATTTCCGAGTCTTGTCCCACTTATTCGTCAGTTCTAGAACACCATGTTAAATTCTTAATTGCTTGTGCAACTTATTCTCTGTTGTCTTGATGCATAATTCCAAACTATTCTCGTGCAAATTTTAAAAACAGTTGCACCATTTCAATTTTTTAAAAAATCCTTCATACATATTAAATTGCTTTTATTTAAATTTAGGAGCAAAACAAATAGAAAGTAATTTAATTTTAAGATAATTTAATTTTATTAATTATTTAACTAACTTTAGTTTTTGTTAGAGTTGAAGATATGAGTCGAGTTATATATGTTGGTCCAAAAAACTTAATATAAAGGTTGGTTGAGTTAAAAAAATTGACCTAAATAAAAAAAAATATATTTTTTGGTCTGCAATAGATAACTCATAAACTAACCCTAAATAGTTTAGAGTTCATCTATTTAACCCATATTATTTATAAAAAATTTAACAACTTTGAAGAATAAAAAATTTAGGGAATTTTGTTACTACAACCCTATGAGTGAATTTGAAATGAATCATGATGGTGATGAAATGGATGCAATTTTATACATCCATGATGTGATTTTTATTAGATGTGAATGTCATACTGGAACTTATCAGTTAGGCACATTTTTTTTTTCAAATTCATGCAAAAAAAATTATGAGTGGGTGGTTGATAACTCATCAACCGGTTGGCATTTTTGTTAATCCATGTAAAAATAGGTTGAATCTATCCTAATTCATATTTTTTTTCAATTATATAAACCAACTCATTTAATTTGGGTTTGCCCATATTCTAGTTCTAGTTAATTTTGATATAAATTTGAAAATTTTTCTTTTAAATAATAGAGGTAAAATTGGAATTTTATTATATTTTTAGATAAAATTAGTAACTTGATTACTACTTATGAAAATTATATTTAATTACATTTAGGGTTTATTTTATAAGATTTGATTTAGAGTTAATTGAGTTTGTATTTAGTTTGAATTTATGAGTGAATTGCATAATTTTGTAAATTAAAAAATATAAAAATGATAAATTCAAAGAATTAAGTTGAGAGTTTTCAAAATCTTGATATTAAGTCGATGAATATAATGCAGATTCTATTGGATTGTCTTTTTATATGATCATCTTCATTTTTCTCTCTCTTTTATCTCTTATTACTTTTTAATTTTCAACTAAAATTCGGTTAAGTCAATGTACTTTTATCAAGTTACTCTATTTATTCTAGTGCATCGCACAGAACAATTGCAATCTTTGACAGGGAAGATCAAGTTATCAACGACAAGTCGACTGCATGCTGCCCGAATACCACGGATTATTGACTTTATTACCAATTCCAGAACTATTACGTCCTCTCTCCATCCCAATATATATGTGTGTGTGATATTTTTAATCTAATCATGCAAATAAATAAAAGTTTTAAAAAACATTTTATATATAAAGATGAAGACAGTATGTATTATATATATATATATATATATATTTTGTGTGTGTGTGAGCGTGTGTATCATCACATTGTCAAGATGAATATATGCATGATACACACAGAACCAATCACCTCAACCCACTTCAAAGAAGAAGAAAAGAAGAGATAAACTGAACGCGAAATATTAGTGGTTTTATTTGTGGGTCCTCCATCGTGGACGACGTCCCGATGAATCAAATATTATTTGCTGTTTATATTTCGTCATCGTAGAGATCTGGAAGCTGGGGCTTCGTTGGTCCCTGGATCAAACGCTGGTGCTTTATTTGACTGATTTTGCGATGATCATCTTCAGTCAAGGACCAGTCGAAGATGTGGAGGTTCTGCTTCATTCTATCTTTGTTGTAGCTCTTTGGCACGAACGTCACTCCTTGCTCGTAGAGCCATCTCAGGCAAACCTGAGCGCTGGACTTGCCCCTCTCTTCTGCTATCTCCTTCACCACATCGCTCTCCATCGCCTCGTTCGGCCCCCTGCTCGCTCCCTTCCTCAGCGGCGAAAACGCCGTCATCACTATCCTTTTCTCCCTGCAGTATCCCAGAAGCTTCTTCTGCTGCCACGCCAGGTTCATCTCCACCTGATTCACCGCGGGAGGAATGGTGGCGAATGAGAGCAGATCTTGGAGCTTCTTGACGGAGAAGTTGCTGACTCCGATGGCCCTGGCGAGGCCGAGTCTCTGGCACTCTTCCATGGCGGCCCACACTCCCTTCAAATCCAGAGGCACCACGTCTTCTGCCTCTATGGGGAACGCGAACTTGCCTGGCTTCGCAGCGATGGGCCAGTGAATTAGATACAGGTCCAAGTACTCCAGCTGAAGAGTCCTGCACCACATAACCACCAAACATGATCATCAACATTCCAACTCTGGTAAATAAAATATTTCATTCAACCAATCAAGACACTGGTTAAATAATTTATTATTCAACTTGTCCTGACCAAGTTTTCAATACTATGATTAGTAGAGTATCCCAGAATTCAGACCTGAGAGAGTTCTGGAGGGCAGGAAGAACGAGGTGAGGGTGGTTGTTGGTGCACCAGAGCTTGGAGGTGACGAAGAGGTGTTGTCTGGAGGGGACGAGTCCGAGCTCGAGAGCCTCTTTAATGGCTTCTCCGAGAGCAGCTTCGGAGCCATAAGCAGAGGCAGTATCGAAGTGGCGATAGCCCTGCCTTATGGCTTCTATGATGGCTTCTTTCGTGTCGGCCTTGCAGGTGAAGTCTGGTGCAGAACCCATCCCTATCACTGGCATCTTCACTTCCCCAGAGGAGGATCCTAAAACCACCGAAGGAATCTCAGAAACTGGCATGTTTAGTTGCTGCTAAGTTATAAACTAGTAAAGATATATAGCAGAATTGAAAGTATAGCTAATGGGATATAAGCTTTTCTGCTTTTGGGTGAGGTAGTTTAGGGAAACATGTCCTTTTATAGTTGAGTTCCATGAGAGATATCCATAGTACGTAGCTGGTGGTAAGGTGGTCGTTGCATACATTTAGTATGTTTCTTTTGTTTTGTTTTTTTTTTTTTTTAAATCGTATTTGGCACCTTTTTTTTGACTTGTATGCTTTAGCTGATTCAATGGAATATGCTTCGAGTTTTTTGACTTGAAGTATTGTTTATTTTCTTCATTCCCACTGATCCAATGCATCGATCTTTCTACTGTCATTAGCTTTTCTGATCAATGTTTTATGAATTAAAACTCAGTTTTTATATGGAAACAAATGAGCGGCCAAAACAACCTATTTGGTGTCTATTTTCAAAACAAAAAAATTAAAAATTTATTTATACAAGTATTGTGGATTTAATTATTTTCAAAATTGTTTTTATTTTGTTTTAAAAGAAAAAAAAGGGAAACATCTTAAAGTTATTTCATGTTTTTTTTATTTTTAAAACACAGTACATTTTATGCTTGAAAAATATAATTAGTTTGATCAATTTTTATCATAAACTGTACCATCATATTATCCACTTATAATTATCACTATTATCCTGTTTTTTAATTTAAAAATGTTTTCAAATTAATATAACTAAACAAATTTTTATTTTGTTTTGTTTTGAAAAATAATTTTAAAAACAGTATGATAAAATAATTTAAATTAAAAATAAAAAAATGAGAACAGTAAGGAAATAGGTCCTTAGAAAGCTCAGCTTGAGAATTTTTGAAAGATTAAAGCTTAGTTAATTGGAAGCTGCCGGGGTAACAATAAAGTCAGAGTCATCGGTTGTACCGCTGAAGCTTCGAAGCTTGAAATCATATCACTCACGATTGAGTTGCTAATTACTCTAAATCATACTTTTTTTATTTATTGATTTTTTTAACATATTTTACTAAAATTAAGAAAAATTTTACACTAACTTTATCTTAAAATTTAATAAGTTTTTAAATTTATACTTGTTAAATACATACTCCCTCAAAAATATAAGGCATTTTTTGAGGAGTTAGATATTAAAAAATATTAAATGTTTTAGTCTTTTGAAATATAATTATTTCTTTTTTTAAAAGTACCCTTATAATAATGACTTTATATTTATTGTGAGATGTTTAATAGAGGTAAATATGAAAAAATAAGATTAATTTAAAAGTAGATAATTATTTTATTGAGGATGAGATTCGGTTAAAAATGCTTTACATTTTTGTACAGAGGTAGTATATTTTAATAATATTTTTTTCCTATTATCCAATGAAAAATAGAAGGAAAAATGTATATTGAAAATTGAATGAGATGATTTATATATAAAATAAAAAAAATTTCTCCCTACCTTATAAATAAAATAAAAAAAAATATGTGAAAAAAAAGGTCATTATATTGATTGGCTGGTTCAGTTGTCATCATTTTATGGATGCGAAATCATGATTTTACACACCGCGCTTTCATAGGTTGTAAATTGTCACGAGTTCTATGTGGATGAACCTTATAAAAGAAGTGAGATTTGTAAATGTGAGGTGGCCTTTCTGGTTTTTTGTATGGGAGTTGCTTTTGGACTTACCTTAGTAACATTAATATTCGCTTCATTTAAAAATATAAAATATTTTTAAAAAAATTTAATGTTAAAAAATATAATATATTTTTAAGATTTTAAGATATAATTATTATTTTTTTAGAGTGTCCCTATTGATGAATAATTTTAAATTTACTATATGATATTTATAAGAGTAAATATAAAAAAATAAAATTAATTAAAAAATAAATAACTATATTATTAAAAAAATAAAAATTTAATTAAAAATATTTTATATTTTTTAACAAAGAGCACCTGTCGAGAGACTGATCTAACAGAGTGTTGTCTATGAAGGATTTTGACCGGCACTATCAATTAAAGCTTTATTAAAAAAAAATATTTTTCAGGGTTATAAATGTAAAGGATTCTCTGCTACTAGTCTTTTTCAAGACGAACTTTTCTTTTATACTTGAGTCCGTAACATAAATATTTGCTTTTAGCTGATTGGTGTATTGAGTTTTTTCCGAGCAGTTAACTAAATTCAAGGTTATGTATCCAAGTTATTTTAACATATTTTATTAAAATTTAAAAAAACTTTAAATGTCATTTATTTTATTTTAAAGTTTAATAAGTTTTTATCTTTATCTTTAATAAATATTTTAAATTTTATTGTTGATATTTTTATTCAAATTATTTAATAAAACTAAAAATATTAAAAATTAATAAATATCTTATAAATAGAATTGAATTTTCTTCTTTCCGCTTCATAGACAGGATGTATGGGAGAAAAGTCTGCTTTGAAAATAAAAGTATAAAAGACCAGAGGAGTAAATGGAATACCAAGGGTAAATCCGGGACGTTGCTCTAGGTCGTGTTTGTTGAATAAATTTATTGATGGCGGTGGTTGGTGAACCCCTGATTTTATTTTGTGAATGTATGTTACTTGCCACGCGCCACGCACGGAAGCTCCATTCAACGGATTAATAAGTGTGTGTTTGATCTTGAATTTGTCAAAAAGTTATTTATTAAAAAATTTATTTAATAAAAATTAGTTATTATAATTAAATTTTTATTAAGATATTGTTTTTAAAAATCAATTTGATACACTAAAAGTTATTTAATTTGTGATAGTAAAATGTATCTTTAAATATACAATTAACAAAAAGAACATTGATTTATTATGATTTGTAATTTTTATTATACAATATAATATATTTGAAATATTAGAAAATGTGATAAAGATTTTAAATAACATAAAATTTAATTTATAATGTTAAAAATTTGATCTCTAGTTATTTGGACTTTTTTAATTTGTAATTTTAGAAAATGTAATAAAGATTTATAATTTTTATTATACATTAATACTAAAAGTTAACATAATTAATTATTTAATTTATAATGCTAAAAATTTGATACCAAATTATTATTATTGAAATGATAATTATATTTTTAATAAATTAGTTATTTTTAAATAAAAAATAAGAGATTAAACTTGAGGTAGTATGATCAAATAACATTTTACTCTTTAAATATGTTTTTTTAAAAGTTTTAAATAGTTGCATTTTAAAAATTTACTTTTAATCACTGTTTGAATATACTTTTGAGATGTATTTTCTGTAAAATATTTTATTTAAATAACTTTCAATATTTTAAAAGTAAAATTTTACTTTTTAAATATGAAATATAAGAAAATCAAACGAGCTCTAATAGTTTTTCACTTCCTGTTTCGTTCTTATATTATTTCTTCTTCTTCTTCTCCCTAATTTCAAAAAAGAAAATTGATAATGATATTAATTAGTTGTTGAGAGCTTTTGCAGTTTTTTTAATTTTGGTGCCAGCATGGTTCGAGAGACTTTGAGTTGGAATATTTTTTTTAGCAAGCCTTTCTGCTTCTAGTCAGTGTGAAAAATGATAATGTTTAGCTTCGAATTAATAGTTTTATTCTCGTTTCCTTATTATTATTATTATAGAAGGTGGCCACCATTAATTAATATTATATATTTAGTAACTTTCTTTTTTACTAGTTTTCTTATTAATTATTTCTGTTAATTGCTTACTTAACTTGGATGAAATTAATTTTTAAAATGCTTGGCAATTTTTTGTTAATACTTCCTCCATATTAATATATAAGGTATTTTTAATAGAATTTTACATTTCAATAAAGATTTATTATTTAGTTGAATTCACATAAAAATATAATATTTTTTCAGTTTTATCACTAATAATATCATAATTTATATTATGAAGGTGGTAGAGAAAATATATAATTAATTATCTATTCTTTTAAAATAAGAATAAAATTATTTAATTACTTAAAAATATTATTGTCATTTTTTATATTTAAAAATAAAATAAATTTTTAAAAAATATTTTATATATAAAGATAGAGGAAGTAACTCTTTGTGGGGGACAATTTGAAGTTTTCAACTCACCTCCCACCCTGTACTATTTGGAACATTCATGGAAAGAGAAGCTTAAATTTTAAGCGAGGACTCAAATCTTGATCCAACAACCCCTATTAATAGTGTATTGTTTACTTTAATTAATTTATAGAAATAATTTAATTTTTAACTCCTAAACTTTTTCTCAAATATTAATTTAATCATTAAACTTTAATTTAGTATAGCATAATATTTATAGTTTATTTTGATTTTAGAAATTATAACAGTATTAAGTCAAAAATTATTAAAAAATGAATTGTTCTGATTTTCAAATAAAAAAAAACTAAAAGAATTGAGTTTATTTCAAGTCAGTGATTGATAATTGATGATGGAAGAAAAATGTAGGGAGTAATAATTGCACTTTCCCTAGAAGCTGTTATTTTAAACGAAAAGAGATTTTCAAGATCAGTAAGGATGACTCGGAATGAAGTTTAGTCTAATTTGATCTTTTAAGTCTGGAAGGTGAGGCTGCAGACGACAAGTCAACATTCAAGTGATCGAGTCAAACACATGTTCGTAATTGCGTATACTTTTGGTTAAGGATTATATTTAATACATCCACCATCTCATGTATGTACTTTTATTTTTTTTTAATTAAAATATAATATAACTCTAATTTAATTCAAACAAACTATGTGAGAATCATTTCAAAATATTACGAAGATTTAACAGCACAACTAATAGATCAAGGTTTTCTGGTAATGGTTTTTTTTTTGTTTTGGGTTACACAAAGATGTGTCTTTATTAGAAGCTATCATGTCTGAAACACTTTTAAATGTTAAATATGATCGCATCTTTTAATATAATGTAAATATGGCGTTACAATTGAAAATAAAAAACTAAAATGACTAAATATTGTAATAATAGAGTGAAGTAGGTGAGCAGCGTGAGTAGTTTAGTTTTAACTTTTGATTACGTATGGATTTTTGTCTTTTCCAGGATTATCATATTCTTTAAGAAAATATTTTGGGAGAATGATAAAAAAATTCTAAAAAGATCAATTAATTTAAATTAGGTCTAAATTGTCAAACT